CCTTCTTCTCATATACATATCTCCCTTCTTCTTCCTCTATGGGCTGTATACATATATCTCTATACATATATATATATCCTAAGAATGTAAACCAAGGTACTGGTGCCTCATCAGGGACAACATCTGCGACAGGAACTTACTGCCTTTAACCTGCTGCAGACGTAGTGTTTTGGGTTCGGGGCTTAGGGCTTAGGGTTCAAGGTGTAGGGTCAAGTTCTTATAAGTTATATAAGGTTGTATAGTGAGTAGAATTTCAAAAAGTTTTTCCTAGGAAGACACCAGCGACCTGTTCGACAAACTCCTCGTCAGAGGTTTCTATTGCCACTCCTTGGTTCGCCTTGAAAAGGCCCTTGAAAACAAATTAGAATAATGTTTAGGATCTAAGGCGAGGATCTAAGGCGAGGGTTTGGGGTTTAGGGGGTCCCTTTAGAACTGAATAGGAAAAATGGACTTTTTGAAAGATGTTGGTATTTGGGGCCCTATAAATTCAATGAGGAAAATTGCAAATTATCCCAGGAAGTATTCGGGGTCCCTACAAACACAAATGAGGAAAAATCTTCAAATATCTCTATCTAGAAGCCCCTAACCCTTAACCTGGAGAAAAAAATACATATCCCAACCCTAAACCCTAAACCTTAGACCTGACCCTAAACCCTAAAACCAAAAAATCCCAAAGGCCAACCTAGACTCTTCTGAGAACTACATTCTCAGGTTGAAGGCTGCTGAACCAGGTTAGGAGCTCGCGGTCCCCGGCGCCCTCCAGGGTTTGGGGGTTAAGGCGTAGGGCTTCGGGTTTAGGATTCAGGGTTTAGGGCTTAGGGTTACGGGCTCAGGGGTAGGGTTTAGGATTAAAGGTTGGGGTTTAGGGCTTGGGGCTTTGGATGTAGGGTTTAAGGCTTGGGGCTTAGGGTATGGGGTATTGAGCTTAGGGCTTAAAAAAGGGTGTGTACAGAATGTTGCGAGTACACACGGACTATTGCAAAGATTACTCGGGCAGATTCTTGGGGATTATAGGACTACACCCAAAACCGTAAACCCTAAATCGCTATGCCTTGCCCAGCCTTGAAGGACAGGCTGAGGTTTTCCCATGCAGTCGGCTGCCCTTCCCGCATAGGACCACAAGCAGCGATGTAAACGTGCTTGACCCTGCTGCCTGGCTAGCGAGCAATTAAGGAATGGATCCTTATAGTAGTCCCTATATAACCCATTATAGTAGTTTTCATTTTCTTTTCCATTCCTTCTAAACCCTAAATACGCTGAACCCTAAATAATCCCTATGACCCCTTTAGTTTCCATTTCCTTTGCCATTTCCCTGCCTAAACGCGTTGCAATGCAAGTAGCTGGAGCTGCGCCTGGAGGTTTCCAGAGATTCAGGACCCCTTTTACAGGCACTTTAGGGTTTAGGGTTTAAGGCTCAGGGTTTTGGGCTAAGGGTTTCGGTTTTTTTTGCTAGAGCCGGGCGCGCTCTCTTGCGCGCTCATTGGCGCCGCTACCGCTGGGAATCTCAAGGATCTTGATATCTGCGTGTAGATGAAATTAGGGCCGAAGATATTCCTAGCATTGAAGTGCTGCCATAGTTCCGCAAAATGTCTTTGAGTTGTGGTCTCAACCCAGTAAGGAATTTTACCCCCCCTACGTCTACCGGTGGCTTGTATACGATTCTTCAATCCAGGGCTAAAGACTACGTGGTGGATAGGGTCGTTGTGGTCAGCCCCGAAAACCTGACCAAGCGTTTTAAGCTGGAGCTTGTTCAGGGATTGCGAAGGCTTTCGGGGTTCACCGGGCTCAAGGGGTTAAGGGTTTAAGGTTTACAACTCAGGGTTTAGGGTCTAGGGCTTAGGGTTTCGGTTTTAGGGCTTAGGGTTTTGGGCTTAGGGTTTTGAGTTCAGGGTTTAAGGCTTAGGGTTTACGGCGTCCACCTGCGCAGGGCCGAGTATCCATGCGCCGATGGCGCCACCCCACTACCAGGTGGCGGCACATCCTGCGCCCAGCGAACCTTATGGATGTTGCCCAAGAAGCCATCGAACTGGGCTTTCTTCAAAATCCCCACCCGCTGTGAGACATCACAAGCTACCACCCAAGTTACTTCTCCAATTCCAAAAAGCTTCAAAGGCCTCCAGGCTCCAGGGCCTTCAGGGGTCCCAAAGGGCCCCTAGCCTCAAGGCCCTACCTCAAGAATTTGCTGCAGCCAGGGGCCAGGACCCTGCCTTGGAGCACCCTGGAAGGAGGCTGAAAGTGCGGGGGCGACGTTGTGAGGCTTGAATCCCAGTGTACATTGCAAAGGTTTTGGCCTACTGGGGTGCAAAGCTGTACCTCCCGATGTATGGGAGGAGGGGCTCTATATGTCCACTCTCCACAGGCGCTGCTCCCATTGTCTTACCCAGTACGGGTGCAAAGGCTGACGTGCTTCTTCAGTGTCTGACCACCCTAGTAATGGGTGGGAACGGCCTAAGCAGGCCGGGTGGGAATTTAGGGCTTGCGGTTTAGGGTTTAGGTTTTAGGGCTTAGGGTTTAGGGTTTAGGGCTTAAGGTAGAGTTTAGGGTTTACGGTTTAAGGCTTAGGGGTATACAAGGTTGCACAGGGAGCTATACATCTAGTCCCCTAAACCCTAAACCTTTATTCCGAGACCATACTTGGAGGGTCAGGGGGACTTAGTAAGTAGGTTAATAACCCCTACAACCCATGTAGTAACCCTAGTTATCCCCCTTAGCAGAACAGAGTGCCCTTCAGAGTGTATCACAATAATCACTAGAGAGTCCTCAATGGACACCTTCCCATATCCTCTGATACCCCCCTGGTACATCCCTACCCGGAGGGTCATGTGGACTTAGCAAGTACGTTAGCAACCCCTATAGCCCATATAGTGGACATAGTTATCCCCATTGTTAACCTACTTACTACGTCCCTCTGACCCTCCGAGTACACCCTGAACCCCAAACCCTAATTTGTTATAATAGTTTCCATTTTCTTCTCCATTATTCCTATATACTCCCTATATACCCCTGTATAAACTTGGTATGTCTTTAGGGTCCCTTGGGCTGCGCCTCTACTATGCCCAAAGAGGACTAAGGGCTGCTCCTCATCTTGCGCAATGGAATTGATCTCATCGATCAACTTGTCAACCTTACTCTGGGTTTGGGAGAGTTATATTGGGTTTATAGGGTTTACGTAGGGTTTATGTAGGGTTATATAGGGATATATAGGGATAATGGAAAAGAAAATGGAAACTACTATAATATAATAGGGTTTATGTAGGGGTTCTATTGGGATAATGTGGAATAACATGGAAACTACTATTTAGGGTTTAGGGTTTAGGGGTTTATGGTCCCCCTTAAGTAGATAGAATATGGGGTTATATATAGGGGTTCTATTGGGATAATTAGAATGGAAACTACGATGTAAGGGTTTTAGGGTATCAACTCGTCAACCTTACTGACTATGAGATGGTTTGAGGTTTGAGATTTCGGGGGTTTCTACTTGGTAGGTCAGCTCCTGTCTTGGGGTTTAGGGTTTAGGGTTTAGGGTCTACTTGGAGGGTCATGGGGACGTAGTAAGTAGGTTCATAAGGGGGATAACTAGGGCTACTACATGGGTTATAGGGGTTTATTACTAAATGCCCCTGACCTTCCAAGTAGGGAACAAGTGAATGTGTCCCCGCAGTAGTTCCTATAAGCCCCAAGAACCGCCCCCATACCTTAAACTAATCCTTGCAATGGCCCCCGTGCTAGCCCAAAAATCCTCCTTACACCTCCCATCCCTAGGCCTTCGACCGCCGACCCCAAACCCTAAACCCTAAATTCCAAACCCTAAAACCTTCACCCTTAACCACCAACAAGCAACATATTTGGCCCAAGGCTTCCGCCCCTCGCCTTCAAGGCCGTAGCCGTCTGGGAAGTGGAAGGCTGCTGCGTCGGCCGCGCCAGCTGAGCGCGCTGCTTCTAACCTGGGGTAAGTTTATAAGGGATACCTTTTTGGTGCCTTAGACCTTCGCAAAAATAAGGACTATAGCATTTGGGGATCTACATTGCGGTCCCCATATCTTGGGAAGCTACCATAAAGGCATGTCAAGAAGGGGTGCTTTGCCGCTTGCATGGCCAACGGCAGCGCAAGTTTTGGGGTTAGAGTTTAAGGCTTAGGGTGTTACTTTGAAGGACCCTCACATGTATGACTAATCCACATTTTCCCTTGCCCACAACAGAGAAAATTGTCGTCTATCTCAAAGTGTCACCTAGCAGCAGCTTTTCTAGTTGCTTTTCCCCATCCTTCACCGAAAAGCCGCCCGAATACCAAGCGCAAAAAAGCGGAGGTCGAGGAGGCGGTTTCCTTATACAAAAAAAAGCCAGCTGGCAGCCATGACTGTTTTTTCTCGCGTTAATCTCCCATCTTTCTTGACACAGAACAATGAAGGAATAGATCCCACTTGTACTCCATACATGATTCCCTACCACAGTCACCACAAGCCACATTCCTTGATTCCCTACCAGTCAGGTAGGGAGAAAACTCTTCCAAACCCTAAACCCTTTCTAACCCCTAAATCCTAAACCCTTAGCCTAAGCCTTAAACCCTACATCCCAAAACCTAAATCCCAAACACTAGACCCTAAGCCCTAGACCCTAGATGCTAAGCCCAAGACCCTAAAGCAAACACAGTCTCAGTATGCAGCTGAGAAGTTCCTTGTCTGCCAAGTTAATACCTTAGCTGTCCATTTTATACAGTAGGGTTTAGGGTTTAGGGTTTAGGATTTAGGGTTTAGGATTTAGGGTTTAGGATTTAGGGTTTAAAAGGTCTGGGGATTGGTACCCCAATAATGGAGAATCACATGGAACATGAAATGAAAAGTGACTTGGTAACTGCGTTTCTGCAGGAGTTTACGGTCAGGGTTACCTGTAAGCTTGTATAGGGGGAATGGGAAAGGAAATGGAAGCTACTATTTGGGGGTTAAGATTTTGGGCTTAGGGTATCTAGGGCTTTTCCTAGCTTGATCGCTCTTGTTTTTTTTCTAGGCGGCTTTACCTCAGCCCACATTACCCATGGGAACCCCATACCCCCAGAAAGCATAAAGGATCCCCAACAGGCATTGCTCCAGACTAACCCCTGAACCCTAGACCCCTAAACCCTAAACCCTAAACTAAGTAGGGGTTTATACTACCACAAAAAAAAACTGAAAGGTTACCCACTGGACAGGTGGAATGCTTACCCAGCCCGACTCAGGACCCGAACCAGTCAAGAGCTTGTAGTGCAAGCGCTTTCCCACCAACTCAACCTGCAGGTTAGGGTTTAGGGGCATATTCAGGGGTTGGGGGCTATTTAAGGGTTTGGGTTTTAGGGGTGTAGGGTTTGGGAGTTGGGGTTTGGGATTTGGGCTTTAGGGGTTCAGAGGGTTTAAGGACACTGAAATATAGTTTGGGCTTTCGGGTGCAGAGGGTGTAAGAACACTGAAATATGATAACAGCAAGAAGCATGATGCCAAACATCGCCGGTAGCAGCAGCATCAACAGCAGCAGCTGCTGCAGCGGCAGCAGCAGCGGCAGCAGCAGCGGCAGCAGCAGCAGCAGCAGCAGCTGCAGCAGCAGCATGCAGTACAACGCAGTAGAGCAAGCATTCACAAGCATATTCACCTTGTGACGACATAAATTCTGCATGACCTTGAATACCTTATGCCCGGGCAGATGTGGCATGTTGATATCCTAAAGCCATGCAACTAAACCCTGAACCCTAAACCAAGATCCTGAACCCAAACCCTAAAACCTAAGTCCCTAAACCCTAAAACCTAAGTCCCTAAACCCTAAACCCCAAATCCCTAAACCCTAAAGCCCAAATCCCTAAACTTTAAAACCCAAATCCTATCCTGTTGTAATTTCCACCTGCTCCACCAGGGAAGCAAAGGATAGTCGCTCTTTGTACTCCTTGCCTGGGTAGCGCAAGGTTTGGATTTGGGTTTGGCACACGACCCTAAACCCTAAACCCTAAACCTTAAACCCTAAACCCTAAACCCTAAACCCTAAACCTTAAACCCTAAACCCTAAACCGCTTTGATTTAGCCTTGGCTGGATGCTGCCCTTGCAAGGTCCCGCCATGGCCAGAGCAGGACCCTGGCAGGGTTGTGGGAAGCCCTTGAGAGCCTTTTGGGACTGCTGACAAATTCTGAAGGTTTTGAAGAAGGCTCCAAGGGTTGTTGGAGACCTAGGTCCTGGAGGCTTTCTGGACCTCAAGATCCTTAAGCTTCTGGAGGTTTTTGAGGTTCCTGGAGGCCCCTGGACCCTTCTGGGCAAGCCCCTGCAAAGCTCGCCTGTTTTGTGTTTTTGACCTCTGTCCCTGTTGGAGGCAGGGGGGCCCTCCAGGCTCCAAAAAGAATGATTTGGGGGACTGTCCGGGGTGACCTGACGGGTTATTCTACCAAGCGGGACTGGAGCTCCGTCGCGAGCCGGAGGGCTTCTGGCTCCGGAGCGGCCTCACCTGCTGGCTTTGGCGCGTTCGCCCTGCTCGACGGCCCCGGGCTCACTCAGTGTAGCGATTTGGGTGTTAGGGTTTAGGGTTTTAGGTTTAGGGTCCGGGGTTTAGGGTTTAAGGTTTTGGGTGTACTGTACAGCTTAGGGTTTTAGGTTTAGGGTCTGAGCCCTATATAACCCTATGTATCCCTATACGTATTTACTGTATGAAGCATAACCCTATACAATCATATACCTATACCGGGGCAACTTACCTTCAAGTTCCTTGACCCCAATCCTATTGCCCTATAGTCTAAACTCCTGTATCCCACTTAATAGCCCCTATCATGTTCCCCTATATAATCCTGCATTTTAATGCGTTTAGACCCTAAGCCTTAAAAACTATATGACCACCGCCTTCAAGGAGTGTAGACTATAGCTGAGTTGCTCTTCAGGCTCTGCTCTTCTCGAACCACAACCCCACCCTTGTCTTTGCCGCCGATAACCTCCCAGACGGCCTTTTCGGCCATGGCACGCTTTAAGTTTTCCAAGATAGGAGGTACCTTCAAAAGGGAGTTCTAAGGGATGTATAAGGATATCTAGTTTAGGGTTTCCAAAAGTAGGTGTGCTTTTCTGGGGTCCCAATAAAGCATTACAATATCTGGGGCTGTATATTGGGGTCCCCCTATTCACGGAAGCCCCTAAGGCCTAAACACTAAAGCCTTTTGCCACCTTAAAAGGATGATAATATGTTGGGCTCTATGTTAGGGTCCCCCTAATAAGGCAATCTACCACCTGCGCACCTCTACCACAGCAAGATTCGAACCAAGCTTGGCTGAAGCTCCTCTGGTTTGCTGTTGAGGAACTTAGTTTAAACTACCGAAATACAGGTAGTTCCTTCCTATAAGATACTAGAATATGGGTACATACTGAATAAGCGGGTTTCCTTATTATAGCAACTTAGCTTAGATTCCTCAACAGCTGACCAGTTCTTCATGCTGATGCACACAATGGGAGGGCGCGCGCTTTTGCAAACAGCAGGTCATTCAGCAGGGCACAAACGCGGACAGCGCGGGCAATGCATGTGAGCCATAGTCTAAATCCCTTATATCTTTCATCATAAGCCCTTACTAGGATCCCAATATAATCTCCTATACAACCACCTTTGAGGAGTTTGGACTATAGCTCGTGTATCACCTTTTCCTCGAGCACTGGCTTCGTGCTGTGCCTCGAGACGTTGTGCCAAGGAATAAGAGGCCAAGAAGTCACCTTCCGGCCTGGAACCGTGCTCTACTCATCCCCGACTATCAGAGTTTTGGGGCCTGATGTGAGCGACCTTTTGCGGACAAGTGGGTGGTCCAACCCTTCAATAAGTGACGGGCTCTCTTTGGGGGCAGGCGCTGGCATCTCCGCCTCATCTTCCGGCATGGGCGATCTCGGTCCGAAGCGAAGCATGGCCACAACACCGGCAACGCCAAAGAAGGCAACGAAGTACATTCCACCGCCACAGCACATTCCCACGGCGCAAGCGAGCCAAACACCGCAGGCGGTTGTAAGGCCCTTGATCTGCCCGGAATCTTTGAAAATCAAGGCACCGCCCAAGAAGCCTACTCCCGACGGCAAAGCTGCAGCAACCCGGGATGAATCCCATGTCTGCGTCCCAGCCTCAAAGGCATAGATGGAGCCAATTGTGAAAATGCAGGCGCCCAGCGACACCAGGCTCATAGTGCGCACACCAGCTCCTCGATTTGACTCACGTCTCTCAATGCCCAGCAATGCACCAATGATCAAAGCGAACATCATTCGCCGTGCAAACTCGGTCTCTTGCTGCGTGAGAAAGAGGAGCTGTGGCCAGCGCCGCCCTCTGTAGCAACAGTGACAACAATAGCAACATTGGTGAGAACAAGCGAGATAGTAAAAGTGATCACTTCAGAAATAACAGTATAGACAAACATGCGAACTCCCCTAGCAATGAGAAGAGTCAAATTAATAGCAACAAATAGCAACAATAAGTGACAATAAGTTCGAAAATGGCAACATAATAACAAAGAGCCTCTGTATCGCCAGTCGTCAGGGAAGAGCACATTCGGAACATTGGGAACATTGCTTTCTGTTGCGTGCGTGTCCTTCATAAACTGCTCCTTACATAACCGTCTTTACCCAAAAGGACCAAAAAAATTAACGACCTTCCAGATGGGTTCTTCAGTGTTAACTGAATTACTACTTGGAGGGTCGGCGGGGCACACTAAGTAGAATGATGACGCCTGCAACCCATATAGTAGCCCTGTATAGTTATCGCCAGTATTGACCTACTTATTAAGCTGCAAAGCATGGAACAACAACAAATGTTGGCGAAAGCAACACATGCTTAGGGCTCCAGATCGAAGTTATAAATCGTAAGTCCTGAATCCTAATCCCAAACCCTTAACTTGCCCAAGCATCAACCAAGTAGTCTCCATACAGCGGCTCGACAACTAAAGACACCACTGCAAGTGCTGTAAATGTCGTCGTCAACATCACGGCGGATTTGAAAGCTAAAGATTTGCCGCCGGATGCAGATGCAGCTGCAGGATTCCAGAAATGGTGGGACTCTTGTCCCTGCGACATGGCAGCAAATTTGTTCATGACTAATTGCCCACAAAGTCTGCCCTCTTCCCGAGCCACACTGCCATGCCACACAAATATGCGTCTGCTCCTTAGCCTTGCCACCACAGCTCAGCTTGCAGGAAGGTGCAATTTTGTCAGCAAACGGCCAGGGGTCGCGTTCGGTAGTTTCCAGAAACACGATGCCCAGAACAATCCCAAATCACCATAGTCCTTATTACCTGCCAAAACAGGGAGCAACAATGGTTGGAAGCTCCCCCGTGCACCACAATGTATTCAGTGCCTGAGGTTCGCAAGTTGATGACTCGATCAAATTGGCCGTGGGAAAATAGGATGCAGATTGAAGCTGTTTAGCAAGCTTACTACGCAGCCCTCAAACGTTTTTGACACTGGCTTGTCGACCTGTGATGCTCAAGGCAGTTGCGAGAAGCATCAAAGACTAGTCCTTCCTAGGCGTATCTTGTCAATGCAGCTTCCAGGAACATTGCCTGGATGCCACCGATTGCAGCTGTGCAGTTTTCATTCCGGTTACCTAACCACCCCGCTCTGAACTACCCCACACAGTTGCCTCTTAAGTATTCTTAAGTCTGATCTTCGAGGATAACTTAAGGTTTATGAAAGGCGAACCTAAGGCGGGTAGTACAGGAAGGTGGCTAGGAGAACCCATAGCCTAAACCCTAAACCCATAACTAAGTTCACTTCGGAGCCGGCGTGTGCCAAAAGCAGGCACTAGCCACGCACAACCTGCTTTCCAGCTCTCATTCGCCAGACAAAGACAGATCAACCGCTTCAAGGTAGGGGTACAATTTCCAAGTCTATTTGAGATACTCCGTACCATAATCACACGTGTACAAAGAACGTGGGACAGCAAGATTTGCAAGTGTTTAGGCCCTTGTAGTAGGTCCATCCTGACCGGCAGCTGCCTCCACTGCTGTATCCTAGCATTCCGGGGTTTAGGCCCAGGCCATATCAGAAGAGTATCTGGCTACCCGAAACCCCAAACCCGTTTAGGGTCTAGGGTTTTTCCCATAATAATTCGAACCGGTTGGGGACCTACACTACCCCACTCTTAAAGCCCCAGCCTCGGATGATGCCTGATTCAGCCCCCTGAACCCAAACCCTAACCCCTGAACCCTAAACCCTAAACCCCGAACCCTGAACCCTAAACCCTAAACCCCGAACCCTAAAGCCTGAACCCTAAACCCCAAACGCTAAACCCTGAATGAATCAACCCTACACCCCAAATGCTAAACCCTGAACCCAAGCCCTAGACCTTAAACCCGAAGCCACCCTAGACCCCAAATCCTACCCGAGCCTCCGTTGGGCAGCCGAGGGTCCAGGTGTAGGTTGTGCCTGCTGGGCACACCTGTAGCCCAACCTTGGAGGGCCAAAATAAGTTAGGGTTGAGGGCTTAGGGTTAGGACTTGAGGTGTAGCTAGGGGTCTAGGGTTTAAGGTTTAGGGTTTAGGGGTCTACGGTTTCGGGCGGGGTTTCGGGCTTAGGGTAATATAAGTGATACTGAATAGATTGGGGTTTCATAGGGTTATGTAGGCCTTATATAGCGTTTAGGGTTTACACATAAGATAGGGGCCAAGAGAATTACCAATATCATGTTGAGGTCTATTTGAGATATCCCATACTGTAGACAGACAAGGAATCTAGGACCATTGTTATAGGCTCCTACATTGGGGTGGAGGGGTTTAGGGTTCAGGGCAGTTCAGGGCAGCGCAACCCGAAGCTTAGCCGCTCAACATGAGGTGGATATGGGTTGACTTTCGGTGTGTCGAGCTCATGGGGCGGAAATGCTTTGTCAGGACTTTCAACTGAGCTATAGTCTAGACTCCTAGTAGCCCCTCAATAACCCCTATGGCAGTCCCCTACATAACCCCCGTCAAGGAGTTCAGACTACAGCTGAAATGAAGGATGATGAAAGGATTCCTGCGGAGCGGGCTCTTGGCAGCTACCAACAGAATATATGGTACTTGGAGGGTCAGGGAGACTTAATAAGTAGGTTAATAATGGGGATAACTAGAGTTCCGATATGGGTTATAGGGGTTACCAACCTACTAAGTCCCCCTTACCCTCCAAGTAGTTTCCCAAAAAAGGGGGACCTTCCATTCTCAGTCCCATTATCCCTGCATAATGCCTATGGTTTCCCCATATGATGCCTATATAATCCTGATAAAATCCCTATTCCAAGGACATGTGCAGTTAGAGGAGACACAGCAGGAATCGCACATAACTGATATCGAACAAGCTATGCCCCCCCCCCCCACCCGAATTGACCCCACAGAACTGCTAGATTGATACCAGCTCACATGCCTGTGCTTGTGCTTCTGCAGTTCTGATGAGAACTGGGCAGAATACTAGACGAGTTTCATGTTGACGCAAAAACTCGCAGCAGCTTGCAAAGCAGCGGAAGCAGAACTGGTAATAGCAACACCCCGAGCACCACTGAGATCAATCAAGGTGCAAAGAAAAAATCATACCACCAGCAGCTAAAAGAACGATGAGGAGCCATCTTCTTGTTGTGCCGAGATGCAGCATCGTCATACGCATAGCCATACACGTTTGCGCCTGGGTAGGGGGAAGTTCTTGATTCTGGATGGAAAATATATTGCAATAGTCCTGAGGTGTGCAGCAGCTTGTCTATAGTAAGCAAGGAATGCAGGAATGGATCCTCATCGTACTGAAGTCCCTATGCAACCCCCCATAATATTTTCTTTTCCTTTCCCTGCTAACCAGAGGTAAGGCATGCTGAGGCAGCATCACTTCTGATGAATCAGCTTCACAAACTCGGTCTGCTCAACAGGGCCTGTCCTGCATGCAGAACTGCAGCAGAGCAGCTGCGCAACCTAGAGGGGGAACTGAAGAACAGTGTACATGTCGGGAAACACAGACCATATACACCCCCATCATAGATGACCAAGATGCCATTCGCCCAAAGCGGCGTGCTGTCCCCAATGGGAACCTGTAAGTCACAACCAAAAAACCCGGTACCCCTACTTACTCCCAAGTTACATGTTCTTTCCCATTTTCTTTTCCATTTGATTCTCCATTATGGAGGGGGGGGGGGGCCTAAACCGTAAACCAACCTTAAACCCTAAACCCTAAACTCTTCTGGCCTGCAGGTCTCTGAATTATCATTGGGGGCGCACCTCAGAGGATCCTCCCTTTAGGGTTTAGGGTTTGAGAAATGCCCTTGCAAAGAACTTGGCAGACTACGTAGTGCTAGGTAGACATCTTACAGAATAATAGTGTCATCTATAAGAGGTTATGAGTAAGTATAAGAGACTATTCGATATTGCTTGGTTACTATGTACCTTGGGTCTCCCTTAGCCCTCACAACCATAAACCAACCTATAATCCCAATTTCGATTGAGTTTGCCCTCTTCTTTTTAACTTGATTGTCCACTATTGAGACCCCAAACCCTACACCCTGTCGGTGTCCTGCACTCTTCCGGGCTCACAGGCGGCGTCGGGCAGCAATACATTTTGGCAATCTCGCCTCGCGAACAAGGGTAAGTCTCAGCCTTTCATAAAGCTTGTATACGGCCTATATACGGATTCACTATAACGGAAGACATATCAGAAGGTGCATAAGGGCTATGTACGGCCTATATGAGGAAAATTAGCCCTTAACCCTGACCACGTAAGGGCTCCTTAGATCGGAGTTGCGGGCACCCTCAAAAAGAGGCCTTCTTTTGTCAGGGGGTCTTCATGTCTTTAAAAGGGGCTGTGAGGGGCTATACAAGGACAATGTAAAGCTGAGGGCATCCAAAACCGGAGGGCAATCTCTCCTGGCAGCCCTTCCTACCCTAAACCCTAAACCCTAAACCCTAAACCCTAAATAGTGTTTGGAGGGCAACACTATTTCTGGAAATGATCCCCTCCCCTACTAGTAATCCCCCTTACCTCCCTAAAGAGAAATGATTCCTGCGTAGTGTAGATATCTAAATTGGAAACTATATTGGGGGGGTATTCATCATTGGAGGGTGGGGGAGGCTTATTCATAAGGGAGGAGAAAACCCATCCTGAACATCTTGGAGATGGTTGAATGCGTGCCTAAACCCTAAACCCAGAGGCCGACCCAGGATCCACAGAATTGGGACTAGGGTTTAGGTTAGGGCTCCCACCGACCCTAAGAGGAGAAACCCAAACTACTTGCATACTGTGCAAGTAACATGAGCTATAGTCTAAACAAACTCCCAGCATCCCCCTTAACAACCCCTATTGTAGTCCCCTATAGTATCCAATATAGAAACCCCTTCAGGAGTGTAGACTATAGCTCACATGAATTGGGAGCGGAGGGGAGGCTCCAGTAGCAGAAGCTACAGTAAGGTTTGGTTCATTCCTCCTTGCAATAACAACTGCCACGGTGGTTGAATATGAGCTATAATAGCCCCAGTACTAAGACCCTTTGTGGACAGGTACTGTAAAAGGTCTGGAATGCAGCCGGGACGCTGTTCGGAGCATTCTGGCCCACTTGGTTTGCCCAATTCCTTAGCACGTTTTATGATTTAAGGTGATTTTAGGGTCAGAAGTCCTTGTAAAGGAGCGACCATTGGGACTGCTGTGTTCCAATGGTCGCTCCTTTGGTAACACACCTCCTCAAACGGAGCTCCGTCACAAATAAGCAACCTACCTTCTGACCCTATTCTGGGTTGCTGTTAAGAAACTTAAATTAAGTTACCATAAGGGGTATATATGGTAATTAATCATATGGCCCAATATACTAACTTCAAACTAAGTTCCTTAACAGCAACCCAGTATTGGGGGATAGGCATCCTGAAAAACTACCCCGTGGGCAACCTGTGGCATTTCCTTGCGTCCCGGCACACAGTTGCGAGACGTGAGGGTGTACATCTTGAAACGGCTATATTGTGCCCGCCAGCTCTGCAATGACAAGACAAGACAGAATGTCCTAACCGACTGCAAATTCGCTGCATATACATCCCTATATCTCTCCCATAAAGCCCTTACATAACCCTAAACCCTAAATCCTAACCCATATATAACCCCCTATACGGCAGCCAAAGCAATGAAACTTGCTGCAGGCCATGGGCGAGTATGAGAGTTTGCCGCAAGGTGAGTAGCAGCCGACAACCTGGCAAGGTCAGGAAATTCCCAAGTCTGATCAAGGACCCAAATAATAGGGCCCCTTTAAAGGGGGTTCTAGGGGGATATATATAGGGATATTAGGGAGCTATATAGCCATGGTAGTACCTGATAGTAAGTATAGAGACTGCACATGTTAAAGCCGTAAGCGATCACAGCATCGGTGCTGAAACACGAAAGTCAGGACTGGTCCTAACACATACTACAGCGACCACCGCAAGTGTACAATGTCAAATAATTTTTGTGATCCCTTTCCCGCTAAAATCCTGTGGGATCCCTCCGAGATCCATTTTGGATCCCCTTGAAATGACTTTAAACTCGCTTTCCCATCAACATCCCGTTTAATCCCTCGGAATGCTTCTCGGTTTCCTTGCCATTCCCTTTGCCATCCCTTCACGTTCCCTCTAGAATCCATTTAATATCCCTTTAGAATTCTGTCAAAATCCCTTTATAATCCCCTAGAATCCCTTTTCCATCCCTTTAAACTCCCTCGAACATCCCTCGCAAATCCTTCTGAAATCTCTTTTGCAAATTTGCTTTAAAGTCCCTTTTAGTTCCCTTTCAATTCCCTATAAAATAGCTTTCAACTCTCTTTACCCCTTGAAAACCCTTCGTAAAATGCCGATATTACTCTCCAAGCCCTGCAGGGCTCCAGCCTTGGAGGACATAGGTTCCCACACCCGGAGGTCCTAAAGCTGGGTAACACGTCATCTTTGGGGGTGCTGAAGGAGTACTGCAAGGTTTATATTTGGGTTTATATTGGGGTTCTATAGGGATAATGCAAAACAAAATGGAAGCTACTGTTCAGGGTTTGGGATTCAAGGTTTGAGATTTAGGGTTTAGGGGTTTAGGAGTTTGGGGGTGCAGAATGTAAGGCTCGGGGCTCTTGCCGTACACGGCTGATAGTCAATCCACAGAGCTGCCACCCCACTCCAGGGGCTTGTGGTGACCTATCCTGTTAAAGAATGAAAACATGGCAGGGCCCATGCCCAAACCGTCCCCTGTAAGGCTCTTGGGCCGACGTCTTCAATTCCCACCTCCAGATGATCGAGTACGTTGCAAGCTGAGGGTGGGCCAATTCATGCTCTCAAGACCCAAAACCTCCAAGCCTTCCATCGCCGTCTCGGGCCTAAGGCCCTCCCACGCGCATGGGGCACAAGAGGCCTCCACGCCCAGGGCAGGCTGTGCGCCCCCATGTGGGGTTTCCCAAAATTAGGGGTACCATTTTAGGGGTCCCCATAATAAGGATTATAATATATTGGAGTCTACATTGGGGTCCTCCTATTTTGGGAAAATACCATGTAAGGGAGGAGTCGGAGGGGCTCTTATCGTCCATTCTCCATAGGCACGGGTGTCACTCAGTGTCTGACGGAAAGGCCTAAGCAGAACAGGTGGGAATGTAGGATTTAGGTTGTAAGAAGGCCCCTTTAAAGCAAGGATATGGGGATGCATGAGTCTTCAGAGGGCAGTGGTGCCCCCGGGAATATTTCTGAGTAGGTCAGACTGCGTTAAATCGTATAGGTATACCGGGGGAACGGTATTAAAGCAGCAGGCAGGGGTCCCACGGGGCTTCAGGTTTCAGGGCAGTAAAAGGACTTCGGTAACCCCAACCCTCACAATCAAGATATGCCTTAATTTGGAGGGTTGAAGTTACCCAAACTCCCTTCTTGTAAAGGAGGACTACTATAGGGATCCATGGGTCGTACAGTGGATGCTCAAACTCCTGCATGGTTTTGATATACTGAACTCCTACAATTCTCCACGAATAAGGTACACGGGATAATGAAGAATTTCTAGCACTGCCTGTACTACCCAAACTACTGGAAAATCAAACAGAAAGGAAATCAAACAATGAAATCCAAACTGGGTGTAGTGTCCAGGGCTTTTGTTTAGGGGCTTCTACTGATTAGTGCTAAAAGGGCTGAGAGGGAGAGTGAACATGAGTGCTATCTTGACTTGGTCAGCACGAAGTCTCGTTCCAGTGAGCATTGGTGGGATTCAGGCATTAAAGTTTCTCAGCGTTGTGATGTCTATTCTTTTGCTGTGTACTTAGAACAGATGCCACACCATGGGGGGGAAAGGAACCTGTCATCAAATGTTTGCAAGAAGGGATAATGCGTGGGATGCTGGCGGCCCTGAACGTCTCAACCAGCAAGGAACATATATTTCCCCCTGTCGTATGTTCTGTCTTGCATCATTGCTTCTGCGATTCTCGTCTACCATCGCGCTGCTAGTCTTACTGGTGCTTAGAAGGGAATAAGGCAGCATTATCCCTCTATAATCTCTATGCAATATATTCCCTATCCCTTCTTCCCCACAAATCCCAGCATGATTACTTTGGTTAATACATATCAATGCTATCACGAGTCACTACTAGTATTACTTCTATTAGTATTGCTACCATCAGTACTACTAGTTCCCTTCGTACTGCCACAGCTCTCAGAGGCATAGGCGGCATAGGGTATGCAGGGTGGTGCAAGCATTCCTCCATGCTCAATACTGTTGATGGATGAAATCTTGCACCACCTAGAGTCCCTAATGTAATTCCTAGGACTTTAAGGACCTAAGGTGGCGCAGGATTTCCTGCATCAACACTATTGCAGCACAAAGCTGGCTCCTGGCCGCCCACGCTTCCCAGATTTTCATTGCCTCAGGTGTCCAAGACTTTTCGGACTATTTAACTCCTCACTTAGGTTGGTTCGTACATTACTCAACACTGCCGGCGCTCAGTAGGTAATTGGGGCATGGGTTATACCTACTCAGCGCCAAGTCGAGACGGATACATGTTACTGGGGGTCCCTATAATAAGGATTAGAATATTTTGGGGTCTTTATTGGGGTACCCCTATTTAGGAAAACTACCATATAGCCTCTCCCCCACTCCACACACCCTGACCCCAAACCCCACAGTCACTTACCTTTTCTCTTCCACTGCCCCTTATACCCCCGCACAAACCCTATGTAACTCCTACATGGTAGCTACTGTTGATGGATGAAATCTTGCACCACCTAAGGGCCCTAAACTACTGTAATTCCTGGGACCTTAGGGACTTAAGGTGGAGCAAGATTTCCTCCATCAACACTATATTCTTTCGCCCACGCCCCCTTCAGCACCAGCAAATTCCTGGACAGGCAGGTTGCTCGGGCAATCGGCAAACGAAAGGCCCAAGCAATCGATCTTCTTCGCCTGGCTCGGTGGAGGGTTTCGGGTTGAGATCCTACTTAGAGTGTTGGCTTAGGGTTTATGGTTTAGCCTAATTAAGGTTTAGCATTGATTTTAATGCTTGGGTTCAAGGCTTTAGGTGTTGAGGCGCGTGCATGTGGATTGTGTGAAAACAAGCACCCTCACATACCCGAGATAGGCGTACGGACCAGGAGGGGGTCATGAACGTATTTCCGCTGCCCCAGATTGTCGTGGTCAGTACTGTTGTTCCCAACACAGTTTTTTTGTTCCTGTCGCCAATGTTGCCACCTACTGCCCAGACCAATATCCTGATCACTAAAGACCACGGACGCCCTAAATCCTAAACCCATTTGATCTTGGAGTAGGGCGGAGATGTTGCTTGCAGGGGATGACGGCAACGGAGCCTGAGGACAATCCTCCTTGCTCACATCCAGCTTGAACGGCAACCTTGGCTGCCGCGGATGAGGGTTTAGGGTTTGGGGTCCTTAGGGTTTAGGGTTTAGGGTCCTTTTTATTTAATGAAGAGGACCCTGATTCTTTACGTTACTCTCAGCTTGACCCGAAGATTCCCACTCCTACTAAATAAAGCTTGGCTGCCCAGCCACCATGTTAGAATAAGGGTACCTTTTTCTTGTTGGTTAATTGCGCGACATCTTGCCTCTAAGAGCTTAAACAAATACCAATATCCTTTTCGGGTCTGCTTTAGGTACCCTATATTGCAACTGTACAAGGGTTCTAGGACAACAGTATTACGCTGGATGCTAAGATCCTGTGCAACCACAAGTACCCCAATCCTTGGGAATTATGGCACGAGCTATCCTCAGGTCGTGCAGGGAATACCCTAAACCCTAGACCCTAAACCCTAAGCCCCAGAAGAAATTACTTAGGCCCTGCGTCCCTATAGCCGATGGTCCGTCGGAGAGAAACCTCAAAAACCTGGCTGCTGGCTGCACAATAGTTATACTCCCCTTAACAGTTTAGGGGTTTGGGTCTTCGTTCTGGGTTTCCCTACCACTCTACTAAAAAGCTGAAGAAGCCAAGTTCCAGGAACCAATAAGGCTTGTGCTCAGTAGGGAATAGGACAAGGGGTCCTCAAATTAATCCCTATGAGATGCTAAATCCCCTAAACCCTAAGCCCTAAACCCTAAACCAAGAATATGCAGAGGTTTGCCGTCTCTTTCACTCCTTCACTGACCAGTGTGGATAGCAGCATCCAGGCTGCGGCCAAGCCGCGAATAGCCATCAACGGCACTCGTATCCCACCAATCACATCCCTTGCACAAGAGGTCAGTAAACAAATAGGCAGTTAGGATCGATCTCAACAGCGTAATTCCTGATGGGAGTTATCGTAGTTGTAGAAGCGATAAGGAAAGGCATGGTAATACGGTGGATGGAGGAAATCTTGTACCACTTAGGACCCCCCAAATCCTGTCTTCCTTGGATGTAGGGTATATTAGGTGATCTTGCACCACGAAGGATCCCCAAAATACGGTCTTTTTGGGATAGAGGCTATGTTAGGAGATTCTAAATCCTAAGCCCTAAACCCTAAGCCTCAAGCCCTAAACCTGCTTCGAGCTTGTCTCCCACCTTGTTGTTCGTGGCACAATCCACCCCGACGGCTCCAAAGCTTGCCTGGCAATGTGCTTTAGGGTTTAGGGTTTAGGGTTTAGGGTACGTGGGGATATATGTGGACGTACAAAGCATGCACTGCCATGCATAACTGAAGGAATATATATGTATATACGTACGTGGAACCAAAAACATATCTGTGCGTATATGGCTTTTTATAGGTATGCATGCATTTAAAGTATGATATATAACTACCTAGAGGCATATATAGGCTTTACGCTTTAGGGATTAGTGTTTGGAGTTTGGGGTTGGGGGGTTCTCACTTTAGAGACCCTGGGGTGTCACAGGGATTAGAAGAGGATTGTGGGGGGCCCTTACACCAGTTGCTTTGAAACAAAGGGCTGGAACACTGTAGCTTGAACGTCAAGAACAGCCTCTCGGGCCCAAATGCTGCATACACAAAGGGGAACATTACCAGAAGCAAGGAAATCAAGTCACTTTAGCATGTTACTGATTGCTTCTAGCTGGTACATTATGTTGAGCAGTGTGTGGGATTGCAAGAACCATTGCAAGAGAGTAGTTTTTTTTGGTGGTTGAGCCTAGTAAGATTATATTCCTGATATAAAATACTATACCCCAAAAGGAGGATATAATCTTACTCTATATTGGGTACCATAGTATCCCAAATAAAATACTACTCAAGAGGAGTTTGGGGATTCAGCCGCAACATGAGCTAGCCACCACACTAGTAAGCAGAATCTACTGCTTCACCCCCCCCATCCCGTAATTCCCCCACATAATACAATTTTTATAGGACGGGAACATGTTTGGGAGGTGGGAGGTGATTGCTGTGACCCCACTGACCTACAGAAAGGATGCACCCCGCCTCGAATTTCGAGTCTATGGGTGGCGCACC